TTGAGCCTGAGTCCTGGAGGTCTCACCACCTTTCTGGGAAAGCTGACCCAATAACAGAAGTTAAGATGATTCTTTAAAAATAAATATTCAGTTACAAATGATCAGGCTTCGGAAGGAGAGAATGGAGCTTATCTGAACTGTGTACAGTCAAGTGGTCCAAGAGCCACGTACCAAGGCAATTCTCTGCAGCGCTAATAGGATCTGCCAACTCTGAGGAGTGAGCTGGACACCTGGGGTGCCTGTATTTTTAATGGTGGCAAACGCTGAGAATCAGTGAACTGCACTGTCCTGCAATCTGTTACAGCCAACTTAATTCAATCATCACTGCCAACAAATCCCCCTTGTGGAATGATACACACACACACCAAACTGCTAGTGGGAGACAACGATATCACCTGGGCTAGCAACTTTACAGTTTGCTAACAGCCCGAGTATCACCTGTATTGTACAAATTAGCTGAGTTCGGAGGCATTCTGCACAAGAACAATGATCTCCTGAAAGGTACAGCTTTGTTATGTAACACAGTGGTTCTCAACCAGGGGGACACGTACCCTTGAGGGTACGCAGAGGTCTTCTAGGGGGTACATCAACTCATCTAGATATTTGCCTCGTTTTACAACAGGCTACAGAGAAGTCAGTGCAAACTAACATTTCATACGACTTTATACTGCTCTATATACTACACACTGAAATGTAAGTACAATAGTTATATTCCAACTGATTTATTTTATAAGAATATGGTAAACAGGAGAAAGTCAGCAATTTGTCAGTAACAGTGAGCTGTGACATTTCTGTGTTTTTATGTCTGTTTTGTAAGCAGGTCGTTTTTAAGCGAGGTGAAATTTGGGGGTACGCAAGACAAATCAGACTCCTGAAAGGGGGACAGTCATCTGGATAGGTTGAGAGCCACTGATGTAATATTCGGTTTAAAACCTATTGAACACAAGCACATCTTGTTTAGATGCCCAACCGCACCTGAACTTGCTTGTAGCTCTATTTCCTGGTTCTGCTAAGGGATTTCATACCCTAGAAGTCTTTTGGAAGCCTAAAGGGACCCAGGTTCCACACTTGAGAAAGCACAAGTCACACGTATGCAGCAGTTTTAATTTTCAAAACATTGCGTGAACATCAGCTCTTCCACACTCCTGTGGGGGAGGCAAGTCTGATCCACAAGTAACTGATGGGGAAGTCCAGGCAGATGTGCCAAGTGATTTGCCCAAGGCCACACACAGCGTAGAAGAGCTGGGATTAATACTCACATTCTTGGCTCCCAGTCCTGCGTTTAGACCAGTGGTTCTCAACCTCTCTCTTTCTGAGGCCCCCCCAACATGCTATACAAACGCCATGGCCCACTTGTGCCACAACAACTGTTTTTCTGCATATCCGGTATATTAAAAGCCAGGGTCAGTATTATGGGGTAGCAAGCAGGACAACTGCTCAGGGCCCCACGGGGCCCCGTGAAGGTAAGTTGCTCAGGCTTCGGCTTCAGCCCCGGGCGGCAGGGCTCGGGCTTCAGCTTTCTGTCCTGGGCCCCAGCAACTCTAACACAGGGCCTGTTCTCTGATTTATTTTGGCGGACCCCCTGAAACCTGCTCACAGCCCCCCAGGGAGCCCA